GGGTGGGCAGGTGGAGGGATGCACCCCCCCCCCCAGGGCAGCTGAGCTGGTATTTCTGTTTTAGTAAGGAAACAGCTAGGGTGAGACACTGGCTCCTGATGGCATTGTTTGGGCAGCATGATCCAGCTGTGCCTGAAGCTGGCACACTATAGACTTGTCAGTAACTTAAGCTTGAGTTAGATCATTCAGAAAACTGAATCCAGAGAGTGCCAGTTTCCCACCTTTTATGATGCTCCCTTGTAAGCATGAGAAATTTTGAGCAATTTACCTCAAATATTAAATGCTGCTTCTTACACGTGGACACAAACATTAACTTCTTTTCACTAAAAACGTATTATGTAAAAAAAATCTTTTAAAAAATATTTACTTATTTTTGACAGAGAGAGAGAGCGCAGGGGAGGAGCAGAGAGAGAGAGGGAGAGAGAGAGAATCCTAAGCAGGTTCCATGCTGTCAGTACACCGCCCAATATGGGACTCGAACCCATGAACCGTTAGGTAATGACCCAAGTTGAAATCAGTTGAATGCTTCAGGTGCCCCAGGAAAAAAATCTTATCCCTCGTGTATTCCACCATTTTTTTTCTTAAAATAAAGAGTAATCGTGGAACAAAATACAAGCCTTTGGTCATGCCAACAGAAATTTATCAGATAGTTATCAAGTGCCTTTGCTAAAAGTTTAACGGATGTTTATGTGACTTGCTGTGTGCCGGGCACTGTTCTTTTATTTTTATTTTTATTTTTTTTTATTTTTTAATTTTTTTTTAAATTTTTTTTTTCAACGTTTATTTATTTTTGGGACAGAGAGAGACAGAGCATGAACGGGAGGGGAGGAGAGAGGGAGCACAGAATGAAGCAAAGGCTCCAGGTCTGAGCCATCAGCCCAGAGTTTCGACGCAGGGTAGCTCTCAACTCACGGACGCGAGACGGACTGCCTGGCTAAAGCAGACGCTAACTCACGCATGCCTCACCCAGGCACCCCTTTATTTTTATTAGCTTTTTTATTTAACGATGATATTTCCTTGAGACAAAGAGAGAGCATGAAGTGGGGGGGGGTGGTCAAGAGAGGGAGACAAGACCGAACATGTTCTCCAGGCTCTGGAGTTGTCGAGCACGAGCTCTGATGGGGGCTCAAACTCACAGACTGCGAGATCATGACCCGAGCTGAAGTCGGACGCTTAACGGACTGAGCCACCCAGGTGCCCCTGCCGGGCACTGTTCTAAGCCCTTTACGTATATTACTTCCTCAAATCGTTATGTGATTATGCCCATGTTACAGAAGAGTCATGAAGGGTTAGGTAACTTGCCCAAGATCAAGTTCCAGGTCCCCGGATGCCCATCCTTCCATGTCCTTGGTAAAGAGCTTCTTCTTGGAAAGTCTGCCCTGATTCCCTCAGTAAGGAAGTGCCCTCTGCTGCCACAGACCACACCCTGCCCTGTTGGCTGATGTGCTGGGCGTGTGTCACACACCCGGGCGCCTTGTGAGTTTGTGCCAGCTGAGGTGCAGCTCCCGCACAGGCCCATCCACACTTGCAGGTGGGCAGTCGATAGCCAGCCTCAGCCCCACCAGCAGCCACTTGGCCTCTTTCTCTGCTACCCGTCATCTGACGCTCCCTCGAGGTGCCCTGAGGAGGTCAGCCCTCAAATGAGGGGTGCACAGGGTGGGGAGACCTGGCAAGAGGGTCCTCATCCCTGGAAAACTGGAGACCCCTAGCATCTGTCCAACCTGGAAGGTGTGGGAAGGAACTGGGAGAGAGCATCAGTGCGTCCTAGCTTCTCCCAAACCAGCCGAGGATACCAGGATTGTATCCTCCCTGTCCCTCTGTTTCCTCACTGGTCAAATGAGGAGGTTGGGTTGAGGACAGTCCCCCAGGAACCCAGGGCAGGTCCCGTGGGAATGAGTAAAGCAGCAGCTTCGTTACTCGTCCGGAAAACTTTTGGGGTTTCTGGCAAGCTGTCTGCTGGGCTTTCATTGGTTTATTCATTCATTGAACACCCATCATGCGGAGACAGTGTTGAGGGGATATACCTCAGAGTAAGACAGGCAACGATCCTGTTGCCCAAGAGCTCCCTCGGTAGCTCTGGTTTGGGGAGGCCTCCCAGCCTTCACCCACGGGGACTGCAGGCTTTGAACCAGAGGCTCAGGGTGTGGAGAAGGACTGAGGGCTTGGAGGAGAGACGCGTGTCCTCTGCCCCCTGCCTCTGGGCCACCTGGCCTCTTGGGGCATTCGTTTCCTCATCTTCTAAGTGAGGGGCTGGACTGCATGGCCCTGAAGCCTGCCCTGCCAGCCTGGGAAGGCAACCACCTCTTTGGAGAAGCCACACACACAGCCATTCAGGGTTAAACATTACCCACCCTGTGTCCCTCATCCCTGCCACTCCTCAGGGAGAGCAAGCCATAAACGCTGCCTCCTTCAGACTTCCTCCAGGGCTGTGGCCTCCTGGGAGGGGCCGCAGGCACACTTGCTGACTGCCTCTCTTCCACCCAAAGCCAGGGTCTGGAGCGGGAAAGACTGGCGGTCCCGGTCTGGGGCTGGGGGCTGAGGTGGGGAGCAGTTGGGCCCTAGCTACTGCCCTCCGGCCCCACAGATGTGTTTTTCCTTGGTTACATCATGCGTGTGGCTTCCCCAGATCCTTCCCTGTGGAACTCCTGGACTGGCTTAATGAGCCCCTTAGGTGCCCGCCGCAGGCAAGGTGACCTGGCCCTCTTGGTTTTTCAGAAACAAAAACAATCCAGAGCAATCGAGGCAGCCTCACTGCATGGGGTGCCCCATTTCAGCCTCTGTCCCCAGACCCCTTACAAGCAGGGAGGGCCGGGCCCAGCCGTCATGCCCAATCCCACCCACCTGGGCATTTGAAATCATGAGCCTTCAGGGGCGCCTGGGTGGCGCAGTTGGTTAAGCGTCCGACTTCAGCCAGGTCACGATCTCGCGGTCCGTGAGTTCGAGCCCCGCGTCGGGCTCTGGGCTGATGGCTCAGAGCCTGGAGCCTGTTTCCGATTCTGTGTCTCCCTCTCTCTCTGCCCCTCCCCCGTTCATGCTCTGTCTCTCTCTGTCCCAAAAATAAATAAACGTTGAAAAAAAAAAAATCACGAGCCTTCATTAATCCCGTGTTCCCACAAATCTCAATGCAAAGAGCTTTCTCCTCGGCTCCTTTTTCTCCATCCTCAAAACAGCTTTGTAAAATAGATACGATTTCTCTGTCATCTGTCGCGTACATAGGACAGCACTGAGGCTCCAGGCTTCAGACCTTGTAAGTGCAGGGTGTGAGGGTCAAGTCTAACTCTAAAGCCCAGATTGGTTTCATGCCCAGTTTTAGGCAGAGCAGGGGAGGGGAGATGGTCACTCTCCAGGCCCTGCTCATGACAGACATCACTAATCCACCACGGCATGGTCGATACAGCGAATCATTTGCAGTGCTCTTTTCGGAAAAGCTCAGAGGCAGCTGTGAAGTCCCCAACACAGCACTCCAGGACACCATTACCTATCAGAAGATCACGTCTACACTATTTGCCATTCCTGTGGTCCCACACCATCAGCCTGGAGCCCTCAGGACTCAGGCACAATCCCCAGAGGCTCTAGTCACCAGAGCAAGGGACCCTCTGTGCTCCACATCAGTTGCTATGCTGCTCTCGGGAGGGGCTTCCTGGCTCCTCTGGGTTCCCCCAGACAGATGTCCCTTCCAAGCATGTCCCTCCAACCATCCAGGTTTGCCTCAGGCTCCAGGGCTAGCTAGGTCTTTAATAGAAGTTTTTATTATGAAACATTTCAGGTATATGTGTGGAGAACAATATCATCACAGAGTTTAGGCAACAAAACACCACAGACACAACTGAAATCCCCGTGTGCCCCCCCGTCAGCGCACCGCCCCCCAGGCCACCGCTCTCTGAATTTTGTGTTTCTCGTTCACAGGCACATTTCAGGACTTTTATTGCATGTTTGCATACCCCTATCAGCAAACCCCACAGAAGTGATGTGGTTCAGACTTTCTTGCAGCTGTGGCCTTCAGGCAATTGGATGTTACAGACTTTCAGGCGCAGGCGCGATGATACGTGCAGCCTCCATGATACGTGCAGCCTCCATCGTCCACCAGGTCGTAAGTGCAAATATTTGTTAAACTGTTACTCCGCGCTGGGCGTGGTCGCAGGCGCCTTGCCTTCCTGAACTCGTTTGCTGCTCACGACAGAATTATTTTGATCCCCGCTTTATAGATTTGGGGGGGGGAAGGCACAGAACGATGAAATTATGTACCCAAGTCACATAGCTTGGAAGCTGTTCCCCTAACTGCTAGACATCCCTCCCTCTACTGCTGCGTGGTCTGTTGAATGAAAACACAGTAATTTATCCATCTGTGCTCCTATTTAAAGGCCATCGCTTATTTTTGCACACTCGCCTCAACATTGGTGTCAGAGGGTTCGGGGGTGGTTGTATTACCTCGCTTAGTGCCTACATGAAGCCTGTGAGCGGGTATTTGTATCATCCCCCCGCCGCCCCGTGCCTTTTTAGGGATGAAGAAACTAAGGCTCGGAGAGGGTGAATCGATTTCTCAAAGCTGCACAGCTCCAGGGTGCCAGAGGTGGGCCGTGAACCTGGACTCATGCCATTCCAGAGCCCAGAGGCTCTCCCCATGTCCCGGATGAGCCCTACGTCCCCTATTTGGCTTCTCCTCTTGGTTCCGTGCCTGGCAGCCTGCCCTCCCTCCCCCAGGACACCCTCCCCGTAACCGGCTTTTGGTCTCCCCCCTCCTCTGGCCACCCTCTGTCATTCTCTTTCCAGAGAAGGGGCCCAACCGGAAGGCCAGTTCATGTTAGGAAATTCCAGCCACGTGAGCCAACCGGAGCCAGGGATTCTGAGCAGCCCGTGGCTTTAGAAGAAACTGAAACTTGTCTTGCCGGGGGCGGAGTGGTCACCGGGGATTTAAAGAGCTGCCACTTCCTAGGGCCCCCAGAGGGCACCAGGAGGTCACAGTAGCAGAGGGACACCTCTGCCTGCCCCTTGCCTAAGCCATGCACCTCTGCGAGGGCAATGCACTGCTGACGAGGACGGTGAGTACGGGGAACCAGGGACAGGGGATGGGGAATATGCTTGAGGGTCCCCAGTTCCCGGGCAGGGAGGGATGTGGTCAGGGCTGTGTGACCAAGGGATCCATACACCTCCTCCTGGGGGGCTTCAGGTCCCCCAGGTGATTGAAATGAGGGCTTTGGGGCTCTGCTATTTCAGAGCCAGCCTCCAGTTTAGAGCGTGGCCTCTGAGCAACCTGTCCCCTAACACACTCTCCCTTCATTGCCTTGATGGGAACATTCTTTTCCCTCCCCAAATTCTCAGACTTGGCTCACCTTGGAGGCCCTGCCCCTCCCCCAGGACCCAAGTACTGAAATCCTACCCCTTTCTGTCCACTGCTGGTCTCTCCCCCAGGCTCCAGTGTCTTGGCACCCCCAGCACCTGGAGTGGGCCTGCCATGACTTTGAACCGAGCAGCAGAGAGTCCTCAGCAGGGAGGCCAGGGTCCTGCCTGAGCTCCCTACACTCAGAACATATGTCCAGAGTGACCTAGGGGAGGGGGACTGGAGCTGTGGGGTCTCCAACATTCCCTCTCACCTGACCTTCCAAAGCTCTGGGCATTTGGGTTAAAATATTTTGTCTACATTTTCTCGACGCCCTAATGTGGGGACCAGGGCAGGGGGAGGGGTCCCGCTGTGAACCTTTTGAGTCCACTCACGCGTCCCTGCCGGGTTGCTGCCACACTGGAATGTGAGCCACTTGGGGGCAGGGGTTTTTGCCTGGTTCGTCTGCGGCTCTGTTCCCCTAGCTCAGTGGCTGGTGCGCAGTAGGTGCTCGATAAATATTTGTCGAGTGACTGAACATCAGCTTCGGGCGGGTCTGAGCTGGGCAGGGGCTCACAGAGCCCAATCGGACCCTGGCCCTGCCCTTGCAGGTGAAGCCCACACCTGTTTTATGGCCTGTGAGGAAGGCAGTGGTGGCTCCGTTGTACAGCTGAGGCGGTTGGGCTCAGAGAAGGGAGTGATTTGCCCAGAGCCAGATGGCTGGTAAGGAGAGTGTGGGTGTGAAGTCAGTTCTCTCCGGGTTCGAATTGAAGCTCTGGGCTTCTCTGTTTGTCCTCCCCCATTGCAGGCCGTAAGCAGGACGTGTGGGTGAGGCCGGCGTTCCAACATGGTGGGCCGTGCAAGGAGGGATGCTGTGCGTGTGTTTGTGTGTGTGTGTGTGTGTGTGTGTGCACGCGCGTGCGCGTGTGCGCCCCCAGGGAGACAGAGGAAGGAGCCCCCTGGGGAATTGAACTGGGGAAGGTGTGGCTTTACAGATGGCCTGGACAGAGGGTGCAAGCCCCTGCTGGGACCCCTGACCCCTCCGCCTCACACCCTACAGGATCCCGAGGAGCATCAGAGGCTGAAGAAGAAACAGAAGAACCGCGCGGCCGCCCAGCGCAGCCGGCAGAAGCACACGGACAAAGCGGACGCCCTGCACCAGGTGGGGTTGTCTTCCTTTCCCCATCCTGACTCCACTCACCTGGCCCGGCCACCTCGTCTCCATCCGCCTATGAGCAGCTCCCCTTATACACTGCATGTTTCCAGGTCACCTGAGTTTGAGAGAGGTGCTGAGATACACGCGGGGGCTCTGGGGACACAAAAGTGCATTTGCAGCCCAGCCCTGCCCTTAAGGCGCCCCGATCTAAAGAGAGGAGACAAGAGGTAGAAGCAAACAGAAGAACTCAGCACTCACACTATGAGAAACTCTGGTTCAGGGTTAAGGTGGGCAGGCTTTAGGGTCCCAGCTGCGGCACTCATAGCTACAAGGCACTTCCTTCACCTTCACTGTCCTCATCCAAAAAAATGGGGACAATAATCCCTGTCCCCCGGCAGGACCGCTGTGGAGATCAAAGGAGGCAAAGGAGCCTTGGAGGTGGGGGGGGGGGCAGGAGAGGGTTCCACTGTACTTGCCTCTTGACCTTGGGTGGTAACTTGACCTTGGATCGTGACCTGACCCTTAGAGCTTTTCTTCTTTCTCTGTGCAGAGAGCAAGGATAACACCAGTTCCATCCCAGGGAAAGGATTAAGACCTGGGCTCAGGACCTGGCCCTTGGGAAGGCCGCATACCCCTTATAGCGATGAGTGAAATTCACAGCCCTCCATGCCAAAGGCCCTATGCTCTCTGCGACCCCCATCCCTACCCCTCCGCCCCCCCTCTCCTAACATCCCACGCCCTGTTCTCCCTGTTCTTTCACTGGCCGAGCACATCCAACCTCAGGGGCTCTGTGTAGACCGTTCCCCTCTGTTCTCAGAGAACAGCCCAGCTAGACCTTCCCTTCTTTCCAGTTGTTTGGTTTATTTCTTATTTATTTTAATTAAAAAAAAATTTTTTTTAAGTTTTATTTATTTATTTTTGAGAGA